ATTGAGATTCAAGTAATTCAGGACACATCAGTAGAAAATTTAAGATTGGACATCATTGTGAGAGTAAGACATACACTCTGATTTTAAATGCAATTAGAGTGGGATCTATAAAGAGAAGGTATCATGGGGAAAAATGGCCTTGGGGTTTGTGATCGAACGTATTTGGGAAACACGCAGGAAGTGTTGTATAAAATCTGATTAGAAAAGACACCAGAGGGAAAGGATTCAGAAGGGAAATGGGCAGGGTTCAAGGCTAAATTAATACGTGTGCAAGTGTAAGAGTGGCCATCTGGCAACTCCATCCTTAACCCGTACCCTAAGGTGAAAGGAAGCAATGGTTTAGATGTAGAAAAGATGAGCAAAAATAATCAAACAGTTTAAAAAAAAGAAATAGGATAAAGAAAATTAGAAAGGCTCTAGAAAAATTTGATGGAGTTTGGGAAGAAGCAATGAAACTGGAGAACAGAAAGGCTGTTGTGAAGGGTAAGTGTTAATAAGGTGTTTGTGAGCATGTAGCCTTTCACAGACTTCTGTTCAGAAATCTGTAACAAAGCAGCAGGGCCTTCTCTCCAGCTGCTGCTATCTGAAAAGAAAAGGAAGAAAGTGTTGTTGTACAATGTTGTTACCAGATCCCGATGTGATCATGAATTACAGACTCACCAGAAATTCAGAGCATAAAGAATTGGTGTCAGTACAGAAGAAAGCTCTGTTCCTCATATTTGTGGTAGTCATATGCATGTGTCTGTGTGGCTTTGAACGTGAGCTCAGAGTGGTAAAGGGAATGAATATGGATTTGAGCAGGCACTTGAAGTTAAGCACCCATTCAGTTTCGTATTGAATGGAAGTCTAAGCAAACATGGAGAATTTGAAACTTAAAAAGAAATAAATAAATGAGTGCCTGAGGTTTGCAGAGGTTCAGCATCACAATGGTTGGTGGGAAACAGCAGCAAAACCCCAATATGTGCACACGCACTTCTACAAGCAACAAAGAATATACAGCCCATAATGTCTCACACAGAGAATAAAGGACATAAAGGACCATCACTACTGTTAAAATGAGCATCAAAAATATAAGTACAGTGATCTCTGCAGCTGTATCTATCAAGATATGTATAGATATATCGTTGTCTATGATATGACCTTGACAAAACCTAGTCATTAAAGGAAATGAGTCTGTAATATAAGGAAGGGCACAGGTTATGTTTATTAAGAGAAAGGAATAGAATTTCTATCTTTCCAGTTTAAATTTCCTTAGTTTTTAACTTATAAGTATGGAAAAAATATTCATTCAAAACTTTACAATGGGAATTATGTTCTGTGAGAAATTAAACACATTTATTTGTATTACAGAGCTTCTTATGATTCAAATGTTAACTTTCTGATTTATTAACAGAAGACTTCTTTTTTGATGTGTGAGGATCATTTACTTTTAATGGTAAAAAATTACACCAGATCTGATTATCATATAAATTGTTCTTGAAATAAAATGGGTTAAGAGAAATAGGGACTTGTCAGACCAGTCCTATTGCTCGTAGTATCTTAAAACAACCCATCACTTATGTTCCCCTGCTGCTTCACTTACCTGAGGGATAACACTTATTTATGATCAAATTTATCTTTGCTGGGGGTAGACTGCTGCTAGTCATAGCAAAGTCATCCTGAAGTAGTTAGGTCAGTAAAAGAAGTAGTTAAAAGAGAAAAAAAATGTCACTGAAGTGAATAAAACCATCTTAAAGATAATAGCTCACAGCTAGACAGAAAGTGAGTAATCAAAATGTATTCCACTTATTATATTTTCTAATATGAGGACACTTTGGCATTTATTTCACTTTTTTCATATGGAAGGATATTAGATGAGATTGTGCAGCCAACAGGGTTACTATTCTTAGATACCCTTGTAAGCTGCCAGTCATCACAACCAGTAGCTCTGGAGAATGGAAAATTCATGAGATGGTAGAAGTAAAGCAATAAAGACGTAAAGCAATATTTTACCTTTAGTCCTTACTACTCAAGAAATAATTAGAAATACATGTTCTGTGTGTTGCAATGATCTTCTTGAATTTTGAAAGATTATGGAAGATAGGCCTATGTGCTAATATCTAATTATAAGTGGTAGAACATTGGTACAGCTAGTTCTATGTGGAGTTGGTAGGAAATGACACATGCTTTTGGTTTCCCACATTCTTCACAACTTATCAGTGCTGGTCGGTTTCAGTCCTTCCTACTTCTCCACCTTTCTTGTGTTGACTTCTTCAAAAGCCCAGCAGATCTCCACTTCTTTTCTCCTGATCCTGTGGTTGCCATTTCAGGTCTGTGGAGCAGGAGCAAGAAGGGAAAAAGATGGAACCCTACCAAGCTTGCTTCTGCTGCTAATGCTTTTGCTTTATTGTTTGTATTTTAGCTGAGAATGTTTAGCTTGAAAAGTTGGTGCTTAACATTTATGTGTTTGAAGGAAGGATTAAGTCAAGGTTATCAGTGACTAAATGAAACAGTAGTTTCTGGAGTAAATAGTTTTATAATGAAAAAATATTTATCAATAAAAGCAAAAATTCTTCTGACAAATAATTGCTGGACTTCCACTGGTGTTCTGGTTTGTTCTGGTGGTGAGAGCAGTAAAGGTGTTGAACAGTGGAAATGATTAAGAGAGAGCAGAGAGGACTCTGCTGAGTAACTGGAGAATTAACCAGTCTGAAAATGAATGAGCAGTTTAATACCATGGTTTTTCCACATTTTTATTCCTGCAAGGAAATGTGTGCATGCTTGGTTTTGGTAGGATGCAACATTTACTATTTGGTTTTGTTTGGTTTTAAAGATACAGGTGAGATGAAGCAAATAACAACCCAAATCTTTCATACAGAAGTTGTTCTTGTCCCCAGTGAGATAAGGACATTTTTGGAACAGTGTACAACAATACAAATAGTTCATGATGTGCAGGAAAAAGAGAAGTTTTCTGTAATTCCTTAGTCAATAAGACTTAGTCAGAAGGCTTTTGTATAATATAGAAATAAATTTCTCAGTACACTTTTTCATGTGAAACAGTTGCAATAGCAAAATGCAAAGCCAATCAAGATGCAGGGTAACTTGTGGAAGTTCAGAACCTTGTGATAAATGCCTTTTAAGAGAGTCAGGTGTAAGATTTCTTTGTTCTGTAGCTATGGGTTTCCACTAATTCTATAATGTGTCTTACTAGAAACCTACAAGCTACGGTAGTCTGAATATTTTTATTGGACATTGATAATAACAGATTATAGGCTTCCTCAGTCCCCTTTTTTACTTCACATGTGTTAATCTGACATCATTAATTGCAACTGGGAGTGCTGTCAGTATTTTATCAGCTGCATTTTATCAGATATACGGAGTGGGTAAACTGTTTATTATCAAGATTATTAAGAAGGTCCTCCTGATAACTCTGAATGCTAGATGTTGTTGGGACTTGAGTATTTTTTTCAGGAAAAAAAGATATGCATGAAAATACAAGTGGCGAGTGTTTTCCAGTGGAGTTAGAACTAAGAAGGATCAGAAGATACAGTGGCAGCTATACAGGCTCAAGGAGCAGTAATGCAGTACATTAATTCCATACCTGAATTTTTTTTCAGGATGTATATGAGAGGAAGTTTACCTATGTTTAGTCAAATCAGTCACATTTTCAACAATAAAATGAATGTTTTTCAGATAACCTGGCAATACTGCCTATGAATAAAATAAATGAAAAAAAAAGTTGTTTTTGTCTAATCTCTGTTTCCCATCTAGCAAAAAAACCAAAGAAACAAAAAAGTGAATAAATTAACCTTTTGCAAGTATTCCCAAACCTTAGAAAGGAAATATAAATAAATGCTTTCAATGCAACAGCCTGTAAACATATTTGATTTTAATTACTTTGTTATGGTGACAGACAAGGATTGAACAGCAGAAAACAAAATCCTGAAGGGTTAGAACAGCCAGACAAATACCAAAATACTTGGAGAGATTGTTTTTTGCCTAGAGAAGAAGTTATCTAGAAGCAAAAGAGAGGGGTTGTTCTTACCCACAAGCTGTGTTAGCTACCTAAACCAGAGATCTTGTGTCTGTGCAGCAATAAACATTTCAACATCATATGTGAGTATTTGGCTGTGGAGTCTTTTTTTTTTTGTTTTCCTTCCTTTTCTTTTCACAGGATGTCTTTCCCCACAGAATGTGATTCTCGCCTGAGCTGGTAATATACACATCCTGCTCATATGTTTACCTATCTGGGCCCTCCTGACTTTCTTAGTGAACTCCAAGAAGCCACAAATGGGGCAAGAACAAAGCCGTCAGTGCATTTTAGAGTGCAGGAGGTATCAGCACAGGGAGAGAGTGTCAAAATAGAGTGCAGTGAATCCTGCAGGTATAGGCACCTCCCACAATTCTTAGAGGTTAATACACTGTCCCCTCTATTCAAGCCATAAAACCTCTTAGTAGGAAAAGGCTCACCCCCCTCACAGCTGTGAGTACAGCTCAGGCTGGTGAACTTAGCTGCCTGGGGTTATGGGAGGAAAGACCTGTACCTGTTGTCTTTAAGGATTTCTGAAAAGCATGATCTGGGATGCTCTTATAGTATCCCTACAGAAACCACACCATCACAGAATCACAGAATCACACAGAACGTTAGGGATTGGAAGGGACCTCAAAAGATCATCCAGTCCAAACTCCCAATGCCTGGACCCATCATTTCTCGCAGGTGTTTCCATAAAATAACATCTTCAGCTGAGTTGATTACACAGGTTTGAGATGGAAAGTGATGAAAAATTTCCTCTTAATCAATGCGCTCACTTCACCCAGTGCTGTGAGGGGTTGGGAGAGGGAGAACTTGGGGGAAAATCAACATCCTGCCACCCTCTTGTATGTGCTGCTCAGAGAGCCCTGTGCTGCCTCCTACTGTCACCTCTCCAAGCAGAGGATTTCCTCCAGGTTTAAACTCCTGGAGATACACCAGGTGAAGCAGGCTGACATTATTTGATAATTACAATGGGGTGCATGATGTGATGGGGATCCTTGTGTCCAGGTAAGGAGGAGTAGAGGGACAGGGGAGTTGCACAGATGAGGAAGGACAGGGAAGGTCATGGGCTAGCAAATCCCTGTGTGCCTGGAGCTGTACAGGAGGCGGTGGAGGAGTGTCCCAGAAAGAACACCTGCTGTTAGCACTAGCGATAAAGTGCAAAAGGGTGCATTGTCTCTCGTGGGTGCATTTTCAAGTTGGTGTTCTGATGGGTCTCCTCTGGCAAGCAAGTGAAGAGATTGATTGCACTGACTATTTTGCGTGTTGATTTCATTGCTCCCCCTCCACTCCTCACTCTCTCTCTCTCTCTCTCTGTTAGAAAAAAGCTCTCCTACGGAAGGCAGAAAACGATTTCAACCTGGGCACGGCAGACAGGGAGAAGCGGCTCTAACCACTCCCAGCGGAGGGGTGGCATCCGGGGGAGCCTCCCCCCCCGCGGGCCAGCCTGCAGGCAGCCCTGCCCTCTCCAAGAAGGCTCTCTCGACACGCCTGCTCTGGGGCAGCCCTTGAGAGGGCACAGGGGCACTCGCCCAGCGCTGGCCGAGAAGGGGGTGTGCCGAAAGAAACCCATCAAATCCACACCTACAGGAGGACAACGGTGTGGGAACTGGGGGAGGGAAGACGGGGAGGACAACGCAACTCACATGCTAACCTCGCAGCAGGCTCTTCCTCCAGGAAGCGAATCCCCGGCGCTCCCAGGGAGCTCTGCCCCAGCGCCGCCGAGGGGATGAAGATGAGGCACCGGGCAGCGCCATGCGGGGTCGCGCCCGAGCAGCGCCGCGCCCTGCGCCCCGGGAGTGAAGCGGACCCGGCCCCTACGCGCACATGTAAGCTGCTGTCCCTGCGCGGAGCGGCAGGCAGCCGCAGGGCTCTGCCTCTTCCAGGGCCGGCTCTCCTTTTGGCTCCTTTGAGAAGTGCCTGGCTCTAATGGTGATCTCTACTTATGCACCGCCATGCGGGGTCGCGCCCGAGCAGCGCCGCGCCCTGCGCCCCGGGAGTGAAGCGGACCCGGCCCCTACGCGCACATGTAAGCTGCTGTCCCTGCGCGGAGCGGCAGGCAGCCGCAGGGCTCTGCCTCTTCCAGGGCCGGCTCTCCTTTTGGCTCCTTTGAGAAGTGCCTGGCTCTAATGGTGATCTCTACTTATGCACCTGAGAGTTTTGTTGGGGTTAGAGGTGTCTCGGTGCAACTCGGTCTCCTGCAAGCTTGGTGTGAGTGAGATGGGTGGCTGTGTGTGGAATTGGTTTGTCTGTCTAGCCTTGGAATTTGTGCAAACGTGCTTGGTTTCCACGTACCTCAAAGGGCTTGTCGTTTGTTACTGGACACATGGTTTGGAGCCACGTTGTTGTCTTGTCTTGTAGCTGGGTGAATTTTTTAAGGGTTTGTTTTTCCTGGAAACAGTGTGACCAAGGTGAAATGAGGAAAAATGAGAGATGTAAATATGGGACACTGTATCATGCCTGTTGCAGCTTGCTGTGTTTAATGGTTGATAGGAGTCCACGTTTCTCTCCACGTTTTTTCTTGTCTTGAAATAACTATGAAGGTAACAATGAAAAGGGTGCAGCAATGGGGAAAACTGAAATACAGCCAGAACTGAGATTACCAGTTCTTTTCAGAGCTCTTTCTTTCTCTTTTCAATAGAACTGTTTGTGGAAAACCAGCGTTACACTGCCCTCTGCTTGCACAATTAGAAATATTTTTCATTGCTCTCAGTAGTAAAAATTTATGAATGAACAGGTATTCCTCTGCTGTGTTCTCTGTATGATTTGAGCCTGAGTCTTGAAGAGCTTCAACAGTAAGTGTGTATTATTCCTAGTTCCTAAAGCCAGATTAGGAAAAAAATAAAGCAGGACTCATGGCAGCTCATTTGGTGGCCAAATATGCTGATGAATGGACAATGGGAAAGAATGTAAAAATAGTCTTGATTTTGGTATATCTATCTCTAATATGTTCTGTGATACAATTTTAACAATCAGTCATCTTCACAATCACATATTAAAGAAAAGCAAGCAAGCAAGGAAGGAAAAAAACCCCAGTACATTTATTCTAAAATGAGAAAAAAATGAATACAAGAACCAAAGTGATTATTTTACAGTTTCTCCAGCTGTAAAAGTCTTGTATTGGTGCATGACATTGCTTCGGAATGGGAAGGAAAATGCTGATGCTCAGTTTTTGAGAAGGGGGAGGGCAAAACAACTGAGAAGCAGTGGATGGGGTTTTGTGAAAGAGAGCTGATAGAAAGCCAAATTCCATTTCCTTTTTCAAAGCACAGTGCAGAGCTGCCTCCTTTCTAACAGAGATCGTGTGGGGACATGAAAATTTAGATGCTGGTAAAAATTTGGTGGTATGTCCTCAATGTTTCTCGGTTACTGGCCTCAGACTTTATGCTTCATGACAAGAGGAGAATGGGAGTGTTAGAGTGTACCATTCTTCAGCATCCTCTAATGACATGATAGGCCTGGTTTCTCTTCCTGAATGTGTCTCACACTGCTTTTTCTTAAAGGGATTTGAAAAGGTGTGGTTTTGCTGCTTGCACTTGTATTTCTATGAGGTGAGGCCTTTTTTCAAAGTTTGACCTTGAAATATCATTTTCTTTTGTCTATTTGAGCAGTGGGAATAGTGGGGAGGGGATAATACTTCCTGCAACTGCTTTGTAGAACTACTTTACAAGCGGATGAATATCTGCCTTAATATAGGTAAAAAATTATACTAGTTGTTCCTAGATCTGTATGCAACTTTTCATGTAGGAGAAGGGACACGTTGCTAACAGTACTGAATTAGTGTTTTAGACATCCTAAGATTAGATAAAATGACACTTAAGCATTTCAAAGCATAGAAGACTTTGGAATAAGCTGCTGTTAATCAAGAGCAAAAGCAACCACCCCAAATGACATTTAGACTGTATATATATGTGAAAGTGGATAGCAACAATGTGTGAAAAAGGATACTTAAAACTTTTGGCTTAAAGTATAACATCTTGTCTTAAGGTAAGATTTAGAAGGCTATTTAAGATATTGGAGAAAAAAAAGGGTATAAGGCAGTTCTGGTAATATATACCTACACAGCATTTGGAATGCCAGAGTAGCCTATTGCATATAGGATAATAAATGCGTGCAGTCTGTGTTCAGTCTGTGCTCCTGACTTGAGTCTGGAATCTGCTACAATTTTTTCTTAACTAATTTTAAAATTTTAAACTAAAAGATGCAACATCCTAACTCTTTTAAATGGATTGCTTGCTATGTCAATGTGTGTCTGCCTGTAGAACTTAGTTTCCTTATTTTTTGTTCATGTTTATAACATGACTTGCATGATGAGGTTTTCTGTATGAAAGCAAGGGTCAAGAGAGGAAAATGGTCCTCTTGATGTATAAGAACTGTGGCAATTCCAAAGAGGCCTCAGAGAGTCTGCAGCCTTTGTGTGCCCTGACTCTTTTTAGAAATATTGGTGTAAGTAGAAAGAAAAATAAAAAGTGTCAATCTGACAGTTTCTGAGGCTCTGCAGGAACATAGACTAGTGCTTTCAAAATAGCTTTCAGAAACTTTGATTTCCTTTTCAACAAGACAGAGTCAATGTCTTATCAAAGCCTACTCTGATGGTTGCTTTATCCAACATTGGGCATAGTAACAGTTACTTATCTTAAGTTTCTTCTGTAGCTTCTGGACAAAAGGGGCTGTTGGAGAGGCACAGGGAGACTCCTGCCAACCTCTCTCCACTGAGTGAAATCAAACCCAAAGACTGGTCAGAGATCATAAGTTCTTAAAGCTGCTTTTGTAAAGGTCCTGCTCAAATTTTAGGCTTTAAGACAAATAAAGGTTGACATCATCTGAGAATTCCAGAATTGCACTGGAGCACTGTAGAAAGGAGGAGCAAGGAGCAAGGATATTTGTTAGGATAGACTCAGTATAAAGCAGCCCAGCTTCCTTCATATGTCTCCCTTGTCCTACATCTCTGACACTCAGAGTTGAGGTTGCAAAAAAAGTTGGGCCTCAGAGTGGGGTTGCAAAACCAGAGAGCTTCAGCTTCAATGGTGCTCTCAGTGATGCACATTAAGAACAAATCTCATGTTACGCCATGTTCCCCTTTCAGATGCTGAGTGTCTCAATGCCTAGTACCATCAGTGCAAGTTGCAAGGGCCTACTCCTAGCCACTTTAGTTAGAAGCTGAGATGCTCCCAGAGGATGATTTGTTAAGAGCTAAATCACCTTCTGGAAATTGCTATTCTTCTCCACAGACATCTTATGACTCCCTCAGCTGTGTAAAGCTGGATGAGCTTTGTTGCAAGCAGCACTAAGGCCCTGAAATTTTTTATTTTCTTTTCCCAGAGCATTTTCTCTCCAACACTACTGCATACACTGGCATTCTTTCCTAGAAAAACACAATATTTAATTGCAGTGCCTGCTGAGTTTGATCACTAGATGTCTCAATAAAATATGCAAATACAGAGTCATTTCAATGCAAAGCACCTTTAAACAAAAATGCTAAGATAAATGCAATCAAGTTACAATTACTTTTTTTTTTTAAGAGAGCACATTACACACACTCAGTAAATATGATTAGTTCTAAAACTGCCAGCACATAATTGAAAAGAAGAACAGAAAAAGGTGCTGAGTAGTCATGACACTACAGTAGGGTTCAGTCTTCAAGATCTTCAGCTACTGCATATATTACTCCGCACTACTACTGCTCTATCATGATTCAGTGCTCAGATCAGGCATAATTATAACTTTCTTTTCAGAACAGGAGTTCATAGCTGAGCATTTCTCGTGAAATTAGTCAAACTTGAAAGTATAATTTTTTTATTCATCTCATGTTCTCTCTAACAATGATAAAGTGCAACAGCTGAGATATTGATCTTCTCTGCTCATGAGCAAGATTGGGGGTCATAATTCATCTGAGGTGAAGCCCTCTGAATTATGGTGCTTTTGCCCTGACTTGCAGGCAGTGGTGATCAGCTCTGTGCTGCAGGGACATCCCTGCAGAACATCTATTGTAAGGTGAGTGTGGTAAAGTAATTATCTTTTCAGAGAGCAGGTGTGCTTTTCTGTTTCCTCTTCTTCTGATGCAATTTCTGTTGCTAAAAACAGCATATGAAACCAGCGCTCTCTCTGAATTGAAGAAAGTTGAATTAAGGTCCTTTTTTTGGCATGTTACTGCATATACAACACACCAGAGCGAATTAGCTCTAGGCCAAACTCTAACCTCCTTTCTTAGGCAAAAGTATTAGAACTGGGCCAATGGTAATATTTTATGTAGTTTTACATTTACTTTGGGTATAATTGTAAAGTTACCTGTCCCACCTATCTGGGTTCTCATTTAGAGGTAATAACAAATCAGGAGAGAAAAGCTTTCTAAGAAAAAAAAAGAGAATAAATTATCAAGAATTATACTTGGACATCAGGAAAATATCTAATAGATTCCTCACTGCTGGAAATGTTCCATATTTCTGAGCTGCTTCCAGTACTGACCATTAAATATAACAAATACAAACCTGCCAAATATCTTAACATACAACATTTTTAGAACACAAAAATATATGTTTTTTGACTATCAGAAAAGCCCAGTGGAATTCCTCCGGCTTGAAGCAGCTATTGCAGTTACCTGCCCTAAAATATTTAGGCATATGCAATGCTGCCACACACAGGGGTCATCACTGAGCAGGTGCTGGAGGTGGATAGGTTTCCACTTGATCCCAGCAACAGTTGCTTGAGCCATCACCAGCTCAGCCTTTCAGGTTGCTTAACATTTTAAGAGGCTTAATTTAAAGTCCAGGAAATCCCAAGACTGCAAATGTGTAAAGTGTTTTCTGGTACTATAAGTCCTGATTTGACAAAGTCACATTTCAGGAGTGTTTGTTTGTATGTATAGTCCTTTTTCTTGACCTCACTAAGATTTCATTGCAGGTTTAAAGCTTAAATGCTGTCCTGAATAGCTAAAGACATGAGCTCTAGTTTAGATAAGCACTTTCACATATGGCTAAATACTTCATTTCAAGCACATGTTTTGTCCTCTTGGCCTCTCTGGGACTGCTTCTGAGACGAAAGCTAATTGCTGGGGACATTGTGTGTGTGTGTGTGTGTGTCTGTGCATGCATATGTGTTTAGAAAATTTGGACTCCACTGAAGTCAATGGAAGTTGTACTTCAAAGGGACCTCAATTTTACCCCAGGAATTTTGCTGCTTTAGAGCCCTCTGTCTCCCTGTCAGTATTAGATATGTTAATAATATATTGTTTATCTGTTGTTGTTTTCTCTTACAGAAAAATTCATGCAGTCTTGGGAAGTAATTTACTTGACCATATGTCATTCATTATTCTTATGTCTATCAACTCTTTGTACTTCAACTTTCAACCACAGTGGAAGAGATTAGTTTTAAGGTTCATATAGCACTTTATCTCTCAGTGGAGCATGGGATGATACTTTCAGCTTCTTCTAGCTTTTATTAAGTTGTTATACTGATGCATCGAAGCTTAGGAGGAGGGGTTCTTAATTATGAACCTCTCTTGGAACTGTTTATAGTCACAAAATTTCTTTCTTAGGATTTGTTCAGATTTTAATGTATATGCTAAATATTTGCTATAAAATTTGTTTGAGACTCTTTGGTACTAGCTTTCTATTCTAGATCAGTAAAAAAGTGATGAATTAAAATGATAGATGCATATGTATATTTTAGTTCCATAAGAACAGCTACCTTGAGAATTTCTATGTCCTGGGATTTTAGGAATTTTGATGTTTTGATACCTTTTGTTTTCTCGGGTTTTTGCTCTATTCCATGACTATTTTCTCACACAGTGTTGAAGGTAATGTCTCTACTCCACTTTGTCTCTTGGCATCTATCCCTTTTGGCATTCACAACAGCACTTTCAAACTCCAGTAGTAATTTTTTAGAGCAGCATATGAACTTTTCATTGACTGAAGGTCGAAACTGACTTGGAGAACAGATGGAGCATGGAGGGATGAACCTTTGCCACCCACTGCGCAATAACACCTGCTTATTTGTTATATCTGCCCACTGCAACTTAGAGGCTCCTGGAAATTTTACCCTAGTGATTTAGGACTTGTTATTGGACTGAGTGCAAAGGCTTTTTGTGAAAAAGGTGTTGGTTTTACCTTTTTACTCAGGCTACACATTCTGTGGGCTTAGGAAGGCAATTAACTCCACATGCTTAGATTCTAAGAGGGACTATGATTTTGTCGAGATGCTATTGCAGTAAAATTAAAAAAGAAGAACAACATTGAGACTGCACCGATTGCAAAGTGTGAATGTTTTTAAAAACATAGATTATAGAATCATAGAATCATAGATTTCAGTTAATTTCATAAAATGGCATGTTTATTTCCCCTTGAGCCTGGTTGCACATAATCTAGTTTTCTTTGGGAGTTCCAGAGAAGGTAGAAAAAGAACAGTTTGTCTCCATCCCACCAACTCCAAATAAGAGCATTTCAGTCACATAATCAGTGAGGAAGCTTATGACCCTTTCTGATTTGCCCTCTGTTTGTGGTCAGATATCTTGTCTTTCTGCAGTAGCTCTCTGAAAGATTCTTACTGACGAGTTATATGACACCAAATCAGAAGGCATTTCTGTGTTTATCAAGACTGGCCCCTAGATTTGGGTACTTGTATTTAGAGTAGCTGCCAATGGTATTTCAATGAGAAAATTAGACAGTCATTCATTGAATTGCTTTAGATCAGGAAACAGAAAAATGCTATTATGGAGCATGAAAAAAAGCAGTGAATGAATAGGTGCTTTGGTTGCACCAGCTGGATCTTAGCAGAATATGCAATATATTTATCCTTGTTACTGTGTGTTTAAAATTTGAAGCATGCTTTTTAACATTATGGAACATAGTTTATTGGCCTTATCCAATGTTTATTGACATGGGGAGTCCTGCTAAATTTCTTCAGGGTTCGTGACCTCAAGGAGAAAACTCAAGGAGTGTAATTTGGTGAAACGTTATGCTCTGGATATCATTCCTAAGTACTGTGTACTGAAGTTCCAAACAATAAAAGAGAAAAACAATGTGTTCATACTTTTTGGGGATTTTTTGCTATTTCTCAAGTTGAGAATGTGCTGTGTATTCTTGTTGAAATCCACAAGTCAGAAGAGAACTTTTCTGTTGTTCAGAAAGTAATCTTATTTATTCCACATGTATCCTAAGTGATTTAAACAACTGGCCCAGATCTTAAAAAGCTTGAAAGATCTGATCGTAATGAGACATTTCTAACTTTATTTTAGTTTGTGTGAGATTATGACTCTCCAATAATATAACCAATCTTCCTTTCTGGTTTTCTGCAGGTTGAAAAACAGCAATTATAAAAACATGCATCGAAGGCACACAACCCTTCGGGAGAAGGGCCGAAGGCAGGCCATCCGTGGCCCAGCCTACATGTTCAATGAGAAAGGCACCAGCCTGACTGCAGAAGAGGAACGCTTTCTTGATTCTGCAGAATATGGCAACATTCCTGTTGTGCGAAAAATGCTGGAGGAATCCAAAACCTTGAACTTTAATTGTGTTGATTATATGGGACAAAATGCCCTTCAGCTAGCTGTAGGGAATGAGCATCTGGAAGTGACAGAGCTCCTCCTCAAAAAGGAGAATCTTGCTCGGGTTGGAGATGCACTTTTGTTAGCCATCAGTAAAGGATATGTGCGCATTGTAGAAGCAATATTGAACCACCCAGCCTTTGCACAAGGACAGCGTCTTACACTCAGCCCCCTTGAGCAGGAACTGAGAGATGATGATTTTTACGCTTACGATGAAGATGGAACTCGGTTCTCCCATGACATTACCCCTATCATACTTGCTGCCCACTGCCAGGAGTACGAAATTGTTCACATTTTACTTCTAAAAGGTGCGCGGATTGAAAGGCCACATGACTATTTTTGCAAGTGCAATGAATGTATTGAGAAGCAGAGGAAAGATTCCTTTAGTCATTCTCGATCAAGAATGAACGCCTACAAAGGATTAGCCAGTGCTGCTTATCTGTCTCTTTCCAGTGAAGACCCTGTCCTTACTGCTTTAGAGCTAAGCAATGAATTGGCCAGACTAGCCAACATTGAAACTGAATTTAAGGTAATTTATTACCATGCCTTTTTCCTTGGGCTGAATGTGTTCGGGGTGCTATATGTTTTAAGTGTTTCAACAAGTCTTGGTTTGCCATTTGAGGGGGTGGGGTAAGAAACAGAAGCTACAGAAACTGCCAGATGTGTTATCTACACATAGATTCAGATCACTGTGTCTTCTCCAGTTAATAAATATTGGCATAATATAGCAGAGACATCCTTACTCAGAATTTTTATTTTGAACACTGTGATTGCTTAGAATCTCTGGCTTGCAGCAGAAGTAAAAATTAGATTATTACTCAATTTCTGTAAGAAAGGTAAGTCTTTCTAATTGAGCAATAGTGTTTAGAGGCTGAGCTCTAGAGGTTGGTTTAATGGCTTAAGAATCCAGTACATGTAGTTCTGTTAAAATGATAAAAGGTATAAATTCAACGATTTTGGTTCTCTGTAAAATAATCTAAATTGCATTGCAACTTAATGGTTTAGTACTGTATCTGTATATGATGACTTTAATGAAAAAGGAGGAGAGAAATGGTCAAGAGATTGTTATGAAGTTTATTATCATGCCAAACATAACAGTGGAACTTGCAGAACTCTCCTACAAGTTGTTCAAGATTTCCATTATCATAATAAGTTTGTAAATGTCCAATGTCATCTGCATTATTTCTCTAAGTCATTGACGTGACATAGTGTTATCTCCCTTTCTAAAATAAATTAGTCATGAAAAAACTAATTTTCAGTGGCTCAGTCATCAACACAAGACTGTTTTTGGACTTATGACTGTTGTGCAGCTACAATCTCTATCAGTGACACTGGGGTAATAAAATCTATGTTGTGAGTAAACTGAGGTAGGATGCCTGCCAGGAATCCATTATTTTTAATTTAGAAAACTATTCAAGTGTTAAACATCCATTTCAGGTCTTGTAGCTATATGCGCTCCAATTTAAAAGTGAGAGGAAAGTACATTCTCAGGCTGTTGCCTTTGAAACTGTAGTAGGCTTCTAACATGAAAAAACACCTAAACCACTGAGGGTTTTTGGCAATAAAATTAGGGTAAAATCTTACAAACTCTTTTTACCTATGTGAATCAGAATTGCAAGGACACAACTATTTAAAAGGGAGTTTTTTCTTGCCTTGCATTCAGTTCTAGTGAAGCAATCTCACTGGATTCAGTGAATCTGGTAGCCTGAGTGAGGGTTACTCTGGTGTGAAAGTGCTGTGGGCTCACACCCACAGTTAACAACATTCATACCTCATTAATATTCCAGCTTATTTCAGTAGAAAAATATATACTGTGTGGAGCATGAGCAGCCTCACTATTGCATGCCTGTCAGTTCTGTTAAGTGTCTTGCTGCAGGAAAGTAAATCTATTTCTACCAAAATCCTTTTGTTCATAGACCTGCCAGCATGGTCTAGACCAGCACTGGCAGGTACATGAATCCCTCAGGAGCAAACAAGCAATCAAATAGTCTCACGGGGGTTGTATCTCCCCAGCTCTGGCAAAGGGATGCGAGTAAATCCATACCGCAAAAAACCATTAGAAACCCTTTTTGAAATTACTGTATGTCCAGGAAGGCTTTCCAATTTATTTTATTTCATTTCTTATATTTTTATATTTTTAATTGTGTATATATATTAAAAAT